AGGTTATGCGGTTTCGTGAAGGTTAGATTCCCTGCTGGGTTGGCCAGTTGCGTGTCCCTGTCGACGTATTGAATGTGATCCTGCACCCCTTGAAAATGTAACAGTGTACATTGGCCGTCTCGGGCCTGCAGACACTCTGTGCAATTGCCTAGTCGCACACACGCCCAAGCAGCAAACAAATACAGTGTGGCGGCCGTGTGCCTTCGCATGGACACGGCATACAGCTGTTAGGGTGGCAACAGCATTGGCAGAGATTATTCATGGTCAGTAGAGACCTGGGACCGAGAGCTATAATGATGTTAAGAACTGAAAGGAACCTTAGCAATATCCGCGAGACTCTGAAGATTTCGTGCAGTAGTCTACATACGCTCATGATATCCGAAAGGTCAGTGCTAATGATAGGAGCATCGGCCGTACTGAGACGGGGCCTTACGTCGGAGATTGAGTTTTTTATTTTCCGGAGACTCGACCCATGAGGAACATTTTTGAACAGAATTCATACGAAACAGCATGGCAAGTGCTAGGATCGCAAGCATGATGATAACCGCCAAGCATCATCGTCAGACGCATGCCCGCAGCGACGCTTTCGCCCCCCGCAAAGGCCTGTCACAATCGGACTCTGCTGATCAAATTTCGCGAGTGAAAGTTCAGGCAAAGGCCTTCCTCTGCATGAAGAGCATGTGCCTGAGAAAACTCAACTGCAGCACCCTGCACCGCATACTGGGGCGAACAGGCCTATGTCTGCATGACCACGTTTAAAGGAGAGGGCCGAAGCCAACCAGATCAGCGCGGGCGAGGAGCAATCAGATCACTGATGTCGATCTCCAAGCTATCCATGTTCTGCCGCAGCTGAAGCCGCCGCTCACGAGTAGCTTCCCGAACCTGTCCGAAGATCTATCGGAATCTATCGAGTCTGTCGAGGGATCCGGCGGTGAAGCTTGCAGTGAATTCCGGGAGAATCTGTAGGGCCTCCTCCCAACGTGGCAACGATGTGGAGACCTCCACAGCTTCGGCACTGAACGCAGCTGTCCTTCATTGCTGGATTTCCCTCCTGCCTGGTCAGTCTTGACAGTGCCCAAGCTCTCCGTCAATTTCCGGAGGATCGGCTGCAGGTCCTGGAAACGTCTCTGCGCAGCAAGGGTCTGAGAGCAGCTGGCAGAGCTACAGCCCTAGCAGTAGCCATAGCCGGTACCACGTGACAGCTGACGATCAATAGCAGGAACAGCAGCAAAACCCCTAAACCCTAATCACCCTAATCCAAGGACAGAAACCCAAAGAAAGACTCGGCTGGTCGGCGCCTCGCCCGAAGATTTCGAGGAGCCTCGAGACCACGCCGCAGAGATCTCCTGGCAAGCTTCTGAGACCTTGCGATCCAGGCAAGCTTGATGATGTTTAGGGTTTAGGGCTTTTTTTTAGGGTTTAGGGTGTTTTTTTAGGGTTTAGGGTTTAGGGTCTAGGATTTTGGGTTTGTTGGGGTTCAGGCTCGGGTAGTAGTAACGGCAGTAGCAGTTGGAAGCAAGATCACTCCGGCCTCCCGTGCAACAAATGGCCAGAAGTCGCCGGCAGCCGTGAAGGGTGCAGAGAAAGAGCGATCAACGGCCTGCTTCATGTCTCAGAATAACATCAGACGTGTAACATAAGATAATATGATACAGAATGTTACAGTTTAATACAGCAGGGTAGGAGAGAGTAGAATAGAGTAGGGCATTAGTTAACTTTTCGTCTGCAAATCTTCATTCCGATTCCGATGTGCAGCGACAACCGACGAACACTTCAGAATCGGGCCGATCCTGCACAGGCACAGTTGCTGCCCTCAGCAAATCCGCCAGTAGGGATTCCTCGCGAATGTCAAGGCCTGGAAGTCGAAAGGGCGGCCCAAACACGATATTTAGGGGTTTAGGGTTTAGGGGTTTAGGGTTTAGGGTTTAGGGTTTAGGGTTTAGGGGTTTAGGGTTTAGGGTTGAGGGTTTAGGGACTTGTTTGAAATGCTCTGTTGCATCGCCCTCAGTGCGTTCACACTTCACACTGGCTGCCCTGAATTGCTCCCAAGGCCCGCACAAAGCAAGGCCAGTGGACGCCAGACTCGCTCGAGCCAGATGGCAGCACTGTGCCTGGCGGCTGGCCGCCCCGCATGGCCAGCACCTGCAGAAATTTCTCTCGGGAGGCCGACCCGCCACGGCAGAAAGCACATCGAGCCCCGGGCAGGAGGCTGCAAGCTGCTGACAGACAAGGCGGAGAAGACGCGGAAGCTGTAAGTAGCGCCAGGTCTGGGTGCCTGGAAGGATAACGTCACATGGGACGGAACCTCGTGCAGGCAGAACTTTTTTGGATGCATCATCTGCCGAGGCCAGAGGTCTGGGTCTCTGGATCTGGTCCCATGGGACCTTGTAAGGGTGTTGCCGGTATTGCCCTTGCCCCCATTACCCCCCTTTGCCACCCAAGGCTTTGGTTTTCGAGTTGTCCCCACCCACCCCCCTGGTCTGAAGCTGCGGCTTGCCTCGTGCCGCTGTCAGTGGTCTCGGAACTGCAAGGTGCCAGAGGTCCTCAGGCGAAGGAAACCCACGCTGTCCGCTACGATTGCTGTGCGTCGCACGAGGTCAAGGTTGGGGGATGCAAGACTATGACAGCTGACGTCCCTGCCGCTGCGCAAACGACAAAACATCTTCGAAACATCCCGTCTCTGCATGATGCCAATGAAGTGCATGTTTCTTGTGGTATTGAGGCGTCTAAGCTTTCGGCACCTGCGAAAATCAGCCAAGGTGAGCTACTCAGTCCTTCTGCCTATGCAAGCCTTCATGCTGTTGGGTCACATTGTCACCCAACAGTTGCTGCAACTTCTCGAAGCCAAAAAAGGCAGTGGTTGCACTCGTAATTTTAAGGATACTGACCAAGGTAATGGCAGTTGCAATGCCGGATAAATGACAACAGACAATACCAGGAACACTAAGTCTGGCGCGAACTTGTGTATGCTTGATGACACTGCATGACATCCAAACAATCGTAGTGTTGCTAGTCGTCGTCCTCTTCGTAGTAGTCGCAGTAGTCGTAGTAGTGGAAGTATTAGTCGTCGTCGTCGTCGCAGCAACAGCAGCAGCAGCAGTAGCAGCGGCGGCAGCAGCAGCAACAGCAGGAGGAGGAGTAGTAGTAGTAGTAGTAGCAGGCAATAGTAGCAGCAGTAGTCGCAGTGGCCGTAGTAGTGGTACAGTAGTAGTCGTCGTCGTCGTCGTCGCAGCAACAGCCGGAGCCGCGGCAGCAGCAGCAGCAGCAGCAGCAGCGCAGCAGCAGCAGCAGCAGCAGCAGGAGGAGGAGTAGTAGTAGTAGTAGTAGCAGCAGGCAATAGTAGCAGACAATAGTAGCAGTAGTCGTAGTAGTAGTAGCAGTAGTGGCAGTAGTAGTAGTAGTAGTAGTAGTCGTAGTCGTCGTCGTCGCAGTAGCACTCACAGAGCCACAGGTTTGCAAACACCAGGTCTGGCCACACCAGCATGGCGCGGGGTTCCCTGTTCTGTTCACATGTCTACGACATGCACAAGCTCATAAATACAGTCGAATAAAGCAGAAAATGATTGAATAGATATGTATACATGCAACATATGCGTGCACGTATCTATCTACCTATCTATCTATCTATCTATCTATCTATATCTTATCTTATCTTATATTATATTTTACTATATATATATGTTATATATATATATGCTATATATATAACATATATATATATGTTATATATATATATATTTTATATATGTTATTTTTGTATATTTATATTATACATAAATATAATATATATATATGATATTGATATATGAAGCATACATATATACATATGTATATACATATTCTTGTAGACACACTCACATATATATATATACATACACACATATACATACATGTGTGCATGTAATTCGAATGTGTGGAAAGGTGGATGAAGACTTGAGTGAGCAGTTACATGAACAAATAAGTGAAAAAATGAATATCTACACAAACAAACAATTAATCTATTAAACACACGCACACACACACACACATGCGTGTGTGTGTGTGTGTGTATGTATGCATGCATGCATGCATGCATGGATGTGTTTGTATCTGTATGTTTGCCGGTTCATGATTATATGCATATACAGATATATAATTCATAAAAACATGCATGCTGAGTAGTGCCATGTGTTCCTTTTGTGTGAAAATGTTGAGATGTCTCTGCCCATGGATATGTCATGTCAATGTTGCTCTCTCGGCGATCTGAGGAGCTCTTTGTCGGCCGCGGTGCAGCTCGTGTGCGCCAGGCAGCATTGGACAGAATCAGTGTAGTTGGTGGGAGTTGAGAACTACTGCTGCTACTGCTACCGCTACTGCTACTGCAACCGCTACTGTTACTGCTACTGCTTTTTGCTACTACTGCTGCTGCTATTGCTGCTGCTGCTGCTGCTGCTGCTGCTGCTGCTCACTACAACGACCACTACCTACGACATCGACATCGTCATCTTCATCACCAGCATGGTCGCCATTACTGCCAAAGGACATCCTCGCCGTCATCATACAATCTTCAACACCGTTGTGAGTCATCAGCACCAAGCACCATCACCGTTGTGTATTTGCGGCAAAATAACAGTCCCCATCATCATCATCACCATCATCATCATCATCATCAGCATCATCATCATCATCAGCATCATCAGCATCATCAGCATCATCAGCATCATCCTCCTCATCATCATCATCATCATCGCCATCATCGTCGTCATCATCATCATCATCTTCTTCTTCATCATCATCATCATCTTCATCATCATCATCATCTTCTTCACCAGCACCAGCATCAGCAGCAGCAGCATAAGCATCATCATCATCATCATCACTCCAGCATCAGCTTCGACAGCGACAATCCAGCGGAATCAGCCTCCTTATGAACGAGTTCCCCATGCGTATCTGCGAGAGGAGCGCTTTCAAGAAGTAACTTGCTCTGTCGTCTCGTGCAGCTCTTCGAGCGGGCGCGGAAGATGGCGCCGTGTATTGTGTTTATCGACGAGGCAGGCTTACTTCGTATTTCAGACCCCGGTGCCCTCGCGCTTCACACGGGGCCATGGGATGCCTTGCAGCCTGCAAAGAGTGTTGCATAACATCTGCTATCCTTGTTTGCGTACTGGTGGTGTCCAGAGGTGTGCCTCATAACAGCTGTCCTTGTTGTGCTCTAGCACCCCTCTCTGAGATCGATGCGCTTCGGGCACGCTCCAACAACCTCATGGGAATGGCCGGCGGCAATCAGGAGGCGCGCTTGAGCTGCCATGGCATCAAGATATATTGCACAGGCTCTGCAGTATAGCCGGGCCGGTAGAATCAGATGCATGTGCCACTCCAACATGGCCTGCACTTGCTCTTCCTGGCAGCAGGCTGAGTCTACGTTGAACCAGCTACTGACATGTATGGACGGCTTGGCCACTCGCGAGCCCGGCCGTCCGGTTGTCGTCATTGCGGCCACCAACAGACCCGAGGCGCAACTCGAGCCCTGTCTCGAAGGAGTGCCTGCAGCTTCAACTGAACTGCTGTCCGAAGCTTGTGAGCTCAGTGAGCTCAATTTCCATCTTGTGGTAAACATGACGTGGGCAGTGATGTGAAGCGGTCTTGGAGTCAAGAAGCCATCTCGAGAGCTTGAGAACGATGTGCTGGAATGGAGAAGAACTAATCCCTCGCAGGTTCTGGATGAAGCACTACTCCGCCCAGGACGCTTCGATCGAGTCGTTCAGGCTGCTGCCAGCCCGACGTTCACCGGAATAGCGAAAGTGTCTCTTGAGGTGCCGCTTCCGAATGCCGCCGGACGATTGGAGATTCTGAAAGTCCACCTTCGGCTGCGTTCGGCCGATGCCCTGGGGAAGTGACATGGCACCTGTTTTGCAATTTTGTGGCTCTCTTCTAGTCTAAGGTGCCTGTGGCCCCGGAGGTTACCGCAGAACAGCTGAGCGAGATCGCCGAAAGGTGCCTCGGGCCGCCAGCCTTCCCGTACTGCTTCGTGAAGAACTGCTCAACCAGCCAGGTGTGATGGCTTCCCAGGTGCTGCTTTGGAAGCCATCGTGAACGAGGCCGCACCTCCGTGCATAAGTCAGCCAACTGTGTCCATGCGAGCTCACGTCCTGCCGCCTCGCGTTGTGTGCAGGCCGCTATCCGTGCTGCTCGTCGGAACTCATCGACGGCCCAGCCCTGAGCCAGTCGGTCTGTGGAAAATTCGCGCTCTAAAGGTGCTTCTGAGAGGGAATAGTGAGCTCGTGAGCTCCGAAAGATCAAGACTGTCAGCTGCTTGTGGCCTTGCCATCTGAGGTCAGCATGATCGATTTTGAAGCGGCTGTGTCTGAGTTCAACCAATCTCGAGAGAAGACGAGGCGGTGACGCTTGCGTGCACTGCTGGTTGCTGAAAGAAACATGCAGATCGTGGTTGTCGGGGTGAGGCTTACTTGGCCAGTTGCATTGTTTAGAGCAGCATCTGCTGACTGCCTCTACAAAGCATGCTGCCGTGTTGATTGCTTTGCCAGGCAAGATTTCCCGTGGAAGCTGTAGAGCTTGAAAAGCTCTGGTGAAGGCGCTGAAAAGCGCTGACGTTTCTCCAACTGTATGCGTGGGCAAAAGGTCCTGGATCATTGCTGGATGTGCCGCCAACCATCAATACTGAGACTGCTTTCGAGGTTCAGTCCTACGCTGTGCGAGTGGAATCACTTTCGTGTTGTCTACTTTCTGCAGCTTTTGCTTTGAAAAAGCCAAGGTCTCGTCACCAAGAAATGATCACAGTCTGATATCATACCCTCAGCATGTGGAAGCATACTCGCTAGGAGTGAAGCAGCTGCAGCAAAGCTCATGACACCACAGCAATCGACATCTGACAACTGTCTGTGCGCACTTTGATTCCTGCACTGCGCAGTCTCAGAGACAAGGACACCAGCCGTCACAGGGCGTTCTGACGGCTAGCGGCTATTGCTATTGCACGAGTGGCAGGATGCCTCCGAAGTTTCAGCGGCAGAAGACGATTGAGGAGCAGTACCAGAAGCTTTCCCAGCTTGAGCACATCCTCCTCAGGCCTCCAGAGCCGCAACTTCTGAACTTCGGAAGCGGGGCCTCTAAGCAGAACCTCTGCACCGAAGCAGAGCCAGTTAAATCCCAGCCGGCTTGAGCCACGCGGACTCCGAAGAGCGCCTTCTTTGTATTTCAGGCCAGACTCCTACGTCGGCTCTGTAGAGAGCCAGAAGGACTGGCTGTGGGACCCAATCTCAGCTGCGCATTGTATGCCTAGCTGGAGGGTAGGCGTCAAAGAGGCATCGGAGCTGTAGCACTGTATCATGGATGCAGACGTGCAGCACGCGTCGCGTAGCTCCTCAAGTCTATTCTTCCTCAGGCTCTGCAGGCTCGAAAAAGAAACTCCTTTAAAAGGAGTTGTATATGGCCTCCGAGCAGGGTTGAGAGACCCTGAAGCCTGGAGCCAGACGCAAACGTAGGAGCAGGGCCTCTCAACCTAGTTTGGATGGGAATGCCATGTCAAAGACGGTGGTCACGTCCGAAGACTCGACTCGGGCGACGAGCTTCAGCTGCGCCTCCTGGATCCGAGCCCGAGTGTCCCCATCAGCAGGCGAGCCGGCTGGGACATGACGGAGTCCATGTAGTCAATGTAATTAAAATAGTCTCTCTGGATCACCGCACGCAGCCGCCAGGTGCAGCAGATGGGTTTGCCAGATCTCCATCTGGCGCGCTCAGCAATGCCTCCTCTGGGCGATTCGTCCGTAGCCTCAGCCCAGTCCGTGCGAGCCAGATCACCACTGGCTCTCTGACCACTGGCAAGGACACGGTCCTAGTTGGACAAGATTCAGCGTGTAGAGCTTGCGATTTCGATTCCAGTCCTCCAGCCTCCATCAGCTTCCGACGTTGAGTTCGGTGAAGCACCGAGCCGTTACCTGGCCCTGAACCCCTCCAGGATGTCTCGGAGAGGGAAGAAGACTCGGATGTGGAAGAGCAAGACCTCATGGACCACACTGGCAGCATGTTTGTCATGAAGGAGTCCAACAAATTTCGGAAGGCGACCAGTATCTATAAGTAGTCTATGAGTCGGGGTGAGACGTACCACCCCCCCCAACAGTTGTATTCGTCATCATCGTGCTCAGTGTCGTTGTCGTTGTCACAGTCAATGTAGTAGAAGTGAGCAGCGATAGCATTGACAACAACCGCAATAACTTAAATTGTTGCCACTCCTACTCTCAGCATTTGTGCAACTGCCGTGATTGCCACTGTCCTCAGCAAAAATGTGCAGCCCGTGTAGAGCCACTCTTGCACTTGCTATGATGCTTAAACATGATAAAGATGCTGACATTGCCACTCTGACTATGGGCCACAGCTGTCACCATTTCGGGTTTCCGCACACATGTTTTCCTTTTCTATCATGTTCCTACTACACATCCTCAATGCGCTTTGCTCACTTTTGATGTCATCGTTTTGGTCGTCATTGGTATGATTGCCACACGAATGCAACGACTACTATCACACTTAGACGACGACAGAGAGGACGACGAATACATCGTTAGTACTAGAGCAGTACGGCCAGTACTACTTCTACTGTTACTGGTGCCGCTGCTACTGCTGCTGCTGCTTCTTCTTCTTCTACTACTACTACCACCACCACTACTGCTACTGCTACTGCTACTGCTACTGCTACTGCTACTGCTACTTCTACTGCTACTGCTCCTGCTCCTGCTCCTGCTCCTGCTCCTGCTCCTGCT